CACACCCCCCATATATAATATATGGGGTGTGTGTGTGTGTGTGTATATATATATATATATATATATAAAATACATATATGTGTATATATATATATATATACGTGTGTATATATATATATACATATATATACACACACCATATATATGTGTATATATATATATAGATGGCTGGAATAGTTGATAGCAGGGTTAGATATCCCACAGTTCAAAAAATAAGTTTACTTATCTCTATCTGAAAATATTAACTTGGAAAAGTCAAATTAAGAAATTGCTTATCTAAAATACCGGTACTAAATAAATAAAAAATATATTTATAAAATTAGAGAGATGTTTTAAAAGGGCATTTAGGTTATTGAAGTTCTCCCAGGTCATTATGAGATAAGAAATGTTCTTTGCCTAAATGTTGAGACTGGTCAAAGAGTGTCTATGCCAAGCTAATACAAAATCTAAGACAAATCCAAAGTTCTGAACAAATTCTCAACAAACTTGGAAACCTCTCATCTCAGTGCAAAAATCCTCCCATACAACAGATCTAAGTCTTGCTTCCTTTTCTATCTTAGGAGTCTGCTCCATGCTGAGCAGAGAATACCTAATTACTGAAGTGATAAATTATGAATGAATGAAGCATCCTACTTTCTAGGGATTTGATAAATGACAGCTGACTACATCAGAGAGATTTTTTCCAGAAAGTTTCACTAGATTTGATGTAAATGTGCAGAAACTCAATGCTCCCCCTTGGTAACTGAGATCCCTCGCGCTTGTGGGGAGACTGAGGCTTTCCCACACAGGAAAGGTGGGTCGCAGGCAGAATGCACGAACAGGAACTCACCCGGCGGGGAAGAGCTGACCATGGCAACGTGGGGTTTCTTTTGTTCTTTTTCCACGGCGCAGCCTCTCGAGTAGCTTGGACTACCTGTGTATGCCACCACGCCTGGCCAGTTTTTTATTTTTAGTGGGGACGGGGTGTCACCATATTGGCCAGGCTGACCTCAGGTGATCCGCCCACCTCGGCCTCCCAACGTGCTGGGATGACGGCGTGAGCCACCGCTCCCGGCCTTCCCATGGGTTTTTTTAAGTAAAAATGCCTCTGAAACTAATTTTACTCAGAGCAGCAGCTGCAAGACCAAGGGCATGAGCGGACTTCTAGCCTCACCTCAGTCTTGCTTCTGAGACTATTTCATGTGACCTTTAGAGAAGCCGCCTCAATCTCCTAGCCGATGGAAAAGTAAGTTTAGGCCGGGACGGCGGCTCATGCCTGTGTCATCCCAGCATTCTGGGAGAGGCCAAGACTTCAAGACCAGCCTGGGCAATATGGTGGGACCTCGCCTGGACGAAAGACACAAAAATCCGCCCGCCTCGGCGGCGCTCCGCCGGCGCTCCCAGAGGTGCGTCCTGCGCATGCGCCGGGCGCCCGGAACTCAGGCCCGCGCGGCAGGCGCGGCCCGCCGAGGCGCCCGGAAGTCAGGCCCGCGCGGCAGGCGCGGCCCGCCGAGGCGCCCGGAACTCAGGCCCGCGCGGCAGGCGCGGCCCGCCGAGGCGCCCGGAACTCAGGCCCGCGAGGCAGGCGCGGCCCGCCGAGGCGCCCGGAAGGTGGCACCAGACACAGTTGGACGCCTCCGCTGAGCGACAGGACCCGGGGCCAAAGAGGCGGCCCGACCTCCGAAGTGGAAAACTCCCCGCTCGACCGCCACCACCCCTGGGAAGGGGCGCCTCGGGCCGCGCTGCAGCCGCCTCTCGGTCCCAGCCGCCAGGGCTCGGCGGGCGCGCGGCCGAGGGAGCCCCTGCGGGGCGGCGCGGCTCTGTGGGCGGCCTGGGCATCCCCGGTCGGGCCGGCATGGCCGCCCCCAGGCCGCGGCAGCTCGGGAGGGGCCGTTCCCGGGGGGCGAAGCCACGACGGCGACCCCCGTCCGAGGCCGGCCGGCCCCGCAGACGTTCGCTGGAGGGCGGCCAGTCACAGCCCCGCGTCCCTGTGTTCAGCGACTGGGTTTCCGGCTAATAAAAGCAGAATTGGCGCCAAACCAATCGTTTAAACGTCACGGAGATTATCCAGCATTTTGTTTAAAGCTTTTCTGGTCTGTTTTCTTAAAGAAATAGCATTGAGTTTGGTCTACCTTTTATGACTGATTCTTATATTTTTAGTTACTGCGTTGCTAAGAGGGAATTATTGTCTTTGGAGGGCGAACGCAGGGTTGAGATGACTTCTGGAAGCTGGCTGTGAAAAGTCACGTGATATGCGACTGAAAAGGAATTATTACTTTACCTGGGATCCCGACCACACTCAGCCCTCAGTTTGAACTCTATTAAGTTGAATACTTAGGTGCCATTTACAGTAAACCCTCCGGATTGGATCACACAATATTCCAAATTTTGAACACCCACTGCACACCGTCCCAGCCCACAGGAATTTCAAATGCCTTCAGTCTTTTGGTGCTGCCTTAATTAAAGAAAGAAAACTTGCCTAGCTTTGAGGTAACCATATAAATATACCAGGCATTTCTTAAAAGGATTGAGGGATGAGTATTAGCAAAGAAAAGCTTTTCCCTTACATGTTCTGGTATTGGAAAGCAGAGAGAAGTCTGGGAATCAGAGAAAGACACTTGAGAATCAAGTCCCCCAAGCCCCACGCAAGGCCGCCCTGCTTCTCATCTGCAGAGCCAGGTCCCCCTGAGGGAGGCCACTGCCATGTCCCCCTGCTCACTGCCCAGCTTGGACACTCCTTTGTTTGCCTGAATTCCCACATAGGGGAAGTCACAGAATTTTAGAATTTCCCGATCCAACTCACTGGCTCCAAGGTGAGGAAGCTGAGGCAGTGAGTAGAGAAGTTGCCCTGGGGCAGGGCCAGGCCAAGTCCCCATTTGTCAGGACAAGAAGCCCCCACAGCACTCCCACCACCCCCCACCACGTTCCTCCCTCCAGGCCTTGACCCCCAGACTCACTCCCTAGCCTGGATCTCCCCAGTTCCCCTACAGTGCCCCCGCCCCACACAGTCTCCTCTCTGCCTTTCATTCTTCTGCCCTAGGCAAGTTCATTTTCTATGACGAGTAAAAGAAGTCCCTCTGAGATGGAGGAGACAGACTAGGGATGAATTGAGGCAGTCTTGGTATACTGGCTTAGCTCTCCCTGGGCACACCTGAAAAGCTGTTACAAGTAGAATTTTTGATGCTGCAAAAGATGTAGCAGTCGAATATAAATTTCCTCAGCAAGGCAATTTACTTCTATAGAAGGGTGCGGCTCACAGATGAAACAATGGCGAGTGCACACCTAGACAAGCGGGGGAAGGGGTACTTATGCCTGACGGAGGTTGTCCCTACTGCTGTGTCATTCCCCTATTGGCTAGGGTTAGACTGCACAGTCTAGTCTAATTCTTACTGGCTATTTTAAAGGGATACGAGCCAGAGTGGTGGGGTGGGTAGTTTGGCGGGAAGGACAGTTATGGGCAGGTTAGAGCAGGTAAGCAGGGCTCAAAGCAGGTGACCAGAGCAGGTGAATGGAGCAGGTGACCAGGATGAGCCAGGAAGGGGCAGGGGACCGCGGGAACAGATATGAACTACTGATTAGAACTGGTGGAGGCCGGGCGCGGTGGCTCAAGCCTGTAATCCCAGCACTTTGGGAGGCCGAGGCGGGTGGATCACGAGGTCAAGAGATCGAGACCATCCCGGTCAACATGGTGAAACCCCGTCTCTACTAAAAATACAAAAAACTAGCTGGGCATGGTGGCGCGTGCCTGTAACCCCAGCTACTCAGGAGGCTGAGGCAGGAGAATTGCCTGAGCCCAGGAGGCGGAGGTTGCGGTGAGCCGAGATCGCGCCATTGCACTCCAACCTGGGCAACAAGAGCGAAACTCCGTCTCAAAAAAAAAAAAAAAAAAAAAAAAAAGAACTGGTGGAAAAGGTTGTTTACTGAAACTACAAGGAAGTTAAAACTTTAAAATAGAGAACTGAAGAATAAGAGAGCTGAACATACTGACATACTGATTCTTTGAAAAGAAACTTGGGTGCACTACATCTAACAAAGCTTTCTGCCTTATACACACTGGTGCCCAACCCCAGCCCAGAGAGGCCCGGGCTTGGGACACCTTCCTCAGTAGTGCGTCCATCTCTTGCCCACTCTATCCGTTGACCTTGCTTTTATTCCCTTCAAAGGGCTGGTCAAGGTGCTTTGTCACAAGACATTTTCAAGTTCCCTCACGACATTGTCCTTCAAACAGTTTTCTACAAGATCCAAAACGCTACTGCTGAGAACTGCAACTTCCTAGAAAACTCTTAACGTCCTGCTCAACATTCAAGGTAACTGCTGGCACCAAAATCCAGTGAAGAAACACCACCCGTCCAGTGCCTCCAAAGTAGTTCTCTGTCACGTGTGTTTCCTGCCTGCACAAACCTACATGTACATGTCACAGATTAGAGACTCTTGCAGGACTGAAAGGCTGCTCTGGTGAGGTGACCTCTGTTTAAACCAGCCCCACGTGAAGAGAACATCCCTTGAGACGAATTTGGAGGCTGGGATTAGAGCCTTTGGAGATTGAAGCAAATTAAGATTTTCATTTTAGAATAAAAGAGTACTTTGATCATGAGACATAGATATCTTGTCCCCTTCTCCAAGAAGCAGGAGTGTTGCGTGTGGGACCATGTGCTTCTACGTGGTGTTTGACTCAGTACAAAATCTAGTCCCAAAGAAGGAGCCAAGGTGCTAATGTGGGTGTCAGCTGTGCCATTAAACTCATCATCTCAACCCAGAGTGTCTGGTCCCCTGCTCTTTCAGCATGGTTGTGTCCCTCCTCCTAAGCTTTGGTTCTTTAGGGCGACTGTGGTAAGAAAGATATTTAATCATGACACACACAGACACACACATATTTAACTGAAACAGAAGTTTCACCAAACAATATTTATGCGTGTGGTGCATTCTGGTGTTTTCAAGTCCATTCAATTGTGTTCTGCTTCACCTAAAATAAAAAAAATAAAAAAAATGCCAATCAAGAGAAGAAAAAAAAAATAGGCAGTTTGGGGACCACGAACTGTCTCTTGCTTCAACAGTGTTTGGACGGAACAGATCCCGGGGACTCTTTCTTCCAGCCTCTGATCACCCTCTGATTTCCTCTCCACTTGCAACCTCCAGGACCGTTTTCTCGGCCATCTCCTGCTTCTAGGACCTGCCAACACCGTTTTTGTGGTTAGCTCCTTCTTGCCGACCATGAGCTCCCAGATTCGTCAGAATTATTCCACCGATGTGGAGGCAGCCATCACCCGCCTGGTCCATGTGTACCTGCAGGCCTCCTCCACCTGCCTCTCTCTGGGCTTCCATTTCCTCTACGATGATGTGTCTCTGGAAAGCGTGAGCCACTTCTTCCGCGAATTGGCCGAGGAGAAGAGCGAAGCCTACAAGCGCCTCCTGAACATGCAAAACCAGCGTGGAGGCCGCGCTGTCTTCCAGGACGTCAAGAAGCCCGCTTGAGATGAATGGGGTAAAACCCTGGGTGCCACAGAAGCTGCCACGGCCCTGGAGAAAAATCTGAACCAGGCCCTTTTGGGTCTTCATGCCCTGTGGTCTGCCCGCATGGACCCCCATCTCTGTGACTTCCTGGAGAGTCAGTTCCTAAATGAGGAAGTGAAACTCATCAACAAGGTGGGTGACCACCTGACCAACCTCTCCACAGGCTGGCCAGCCTAGAGGCGAGGCTGAGCTGGGTGAATATCTCTTGGAAAGGCTCACTGTCAGGCATGACTAGGATCCTACTGAGCCCAGAGACTTCTGAAGGGGCCCTTGCAAAATAACAGGGCTTCTGCCTAAGCCTCTCCCTCCAGCCACCAGGCAGCTTTCTAACTACCCTAACAAGCCTGAGGCCAAATGGAAATAAAGCTATCTGAAGAAGAAAAAAAAAAAGCCATCTTCTCTAGCCATCTTCAGGTAATTTCACACACACACACACCACTCAAACATACCCAGATATACAGCTACTTCTGCACTCCCATGCAATATGAGAGTCCCCGCCCAAAGTTATAAAACTGAGTACTCTGTGGGAATTCTCTCACACATCTGTATCTCTAATAGAATTGTAAGAACCTCCAGGGGTATTGTGTGTGGATTCCAAGAGCCAGAGGATTTCACTAGGGAGCTGCAGCTTACTTAGATTTTCAGCTTGTCTCACTGTGTTGCAATCACCTGCTGCTGATGTCAGAAGGGGTCCCGGGGCCAGGAGTTCAAAATTTATGCACGTGACGTGTCTGTCCCCTCCCGCGGCCATCTTCTGTGCTCCCCCTCCCGCGTCCCAGCACAGCCCAGGACTCTGCACAGGCCTTGCTCTCTCTGCTTTGCACATTAGCCTGGGCAATGTCCTCCCTCACCACCTCTTCCGGCGACTCTCCACCCGGTCTTCAATGTTCATTCCAGTAAAAACTCCTCCATAAAGCTTTCTTGATTCCCTTACCAGATTGTATTTCTTTCTCTTATAAATCTCAAAAATGCTTTCTCTCTCCTCTTAGGTATAATTGTAGTCTGCACTGTATCGCAGTATTGATGTATTTGTCTCTAGAGACTATGAACTCTTTGAGGGCAGAAACTATATGTTACTCACCTCTGAATCCCAAGATGCCTCTAACTCAATGTTTTTATGTAGAGAAAGCCATCATTAAGTGTCATTGATTGATCAGCAACTAATCATTAAGTCCCCTTCATCTCTGAAAAATTTGCAGACCATACTGTAGGCCTTTTTAAAAATGTCCAGGTTGCATTTTTTAGGGTTTTAGCGTTGTCAATTGCATTAAAAGGGTTGAGAGAAATCCTCAATCATGAGGATTTCTAGAAAACTATCAACTATAGTAACATAAATAGTCTTCTTTCTTAAGTGCAGGAGACACATTCCAAGACCCCCAGTAGATGTCGAAAACCTGAGATGGTACCAAACCCCATGTCCCATGCATCCTATTTTTTTTTTCTTTTTTTAATCATAGCCCACTGCAGTGTCAAACTCCCAGGCTCAAGCCATCCTGTCACCTCAGCCTACCGAGTAGCTGGGACTACAGGCGCATGCCATCATGCCCAGCTTGTTTTCGTATTTTTTTTTTTTTTATCAATGGGGGTCTTGCCATGTTGTCCAGGCTGGTCTTGAACTCCTGAGCTCAAGTGATCCTCCCACCTCAGCCTCCCAAAGTGCTGGGATTACAGGTGACAGCCACTGTGCCTGGTTCTTTTTTCTTGTATATCCACACATACATATGATAAAGTATGAGGTGCAACACTAAATCTAACAGTTTTTTTTCCTTCTCAATTGCAAAGATAGTTTAGTTCTGTGAATGGTGGACATTTGAGACAGGTTTCGGTTAATTTAGAAACTTTATTTTGCGAAGGTTGAGCACCCGCCCTTGTGACACAGCCTTTGGAGGTCCTGAGAACGTGTGCCCAAGGTGGTCAGAGCACAGCTTGGTTTTGTACATTTCAGGGAGACATGAGACATTAATTGATGTATGCAAAGTGAACGCTGGTTTGGTCCAGAAAGGCGGGACAACTGGAAGCTGGGACGGGGCTTCCAGTTAAGGTAAGTGAGAGACAAATGGCTGCATTCTTTTGAGTTTCTGATTAGTCTTTCCAAAGGAGGCAATCAGATATGCATCTATCTCAGTGAGCAGAAGGATGACTTTGAAAAGAATAGAAGGCAGGTTTGCCCTAAGCAGTTCCCAGCTTGAATTTCCCCTTCAGTTTAGTGATTTGGGGGTCCAAGATATTTTCCTTTCACACGTCCTCCCATAGATCTTAGCAATCTCAGCATACAATTTTTTTCTTTTCTTATTAAGTAGAGAACTTTTACTGTTCCACTTAAAGAAAGCATTTGACAGCTTTTTTCTTTTTTCATGTCCGAATTGCGAGCATCAACACTCTTGCACTTCGGGGCTGTCACTAAGTAAAATCACGCCTGTAATCCCAGCACTTTGGGAGCCTAGGCAGGCAGATCACCTGAGGTCAAGAGTTCAAGACCAGGCTGGCCAACATGGTGAAACCCCCGTCTCTACTAAAAGTACAAAAATTAGCTGGGCGTGGTGGTGCACGCCTGTAGTCCCAGCTACTCAGGAGGCTGAGGCAGGAGAATTGCTTGAACCCTGGAGGCACAGGATGCAGTGAGCTGAGATAGCACCACCGCACTCACTTGAATCACTATTACTGTGATACCGCCGTAACCAGGTGCCGGGACCCAGGGGCTCAGCTCCCTCCCTGTGCTCACCAAACATGTAACTGGGTGTGTCCAGGGTCTTGGCATCACTTGCCCCAGGAATGGAGAAGGGGTCCTGGAAGCACTGTGAGCTTATCATTCAAATAAATATTGGACCCAAAGAGTTTAGCAGAGAGCAATTTATTAGGCAGAGAGAGAAAGAGAGAGGGAGGGAGAGACAGCTCCCACATTGCCATGGGAGGGGATCCAGAGAAGCAGTCCGTATAGGGAGAGAGAGAGAGCTCCCACATTGTTGTAGGAGGGGACCCCAGAGAGGGAAATCCCTACAGGTTAGGAAGCAGGGGGATTTTAACCCTGCAGTTACTCCCACCCCATTCATGTTGTCGCCCAATGAGAGGAGCTCTTTCAAACTTCCTCTGGAGTGATTCATCTTCGACTCTGATCCCGGATTGTTGATTGGGCCCACAACAGAGCCCGTCCTCCCAGGGCTTTTGGCTGGCTTTCCCAACAGAACAAGGGCGCTCACCTGGAATTTCCACCTAGCTGGTGCGGGAAAGTTAGACAAAGAACTTCACATCTGAAACCCCTCTGGTCCCCAGATGGGGGCATGAATGGAGGTATGGCGCTGGGAAATTCCTGCCTTTGAAACACAGGCAATTTTCCGTAACACAGTCCCTCGCCACCACAGTTGATCTGATCACCAAGTGGCTACTAGATGAGGAAGGTGTACAGCGTGGATTCACAGGACAAGCGGAGCAGCCATGTTCCAGGGTAGACCGAGTGGGGATGACGCAAGATTTTATCGCACTACTCAGAACAGCTCAAAATTTGAAACTTATAAATTGTTTATTTCTGGAATTTTCCATTTAATATTTCTGGACCACAGTCGACAGCAGGTAACTGACACCTCAGAAAGCGTAACTGTGGATGGGGGGGACGATTGTATTCTAATCTTAGTCTCTCCATTCATATTTGTTTATTAAGAAATCCATAGAAATTCAAACAAATTAATGAACAGCCTGGGGCAGTGGCTCTCACCTGTAATCCCAGCACTTTGGGAGGCCAAAGAGGGAGGATCCCTTAAGCCTGGGAAGTTGTGGAGCCCAGGAGCCCAGAGCCAGTGACTTGCCGGGGGCCACAGTGCACAGCTGCATCCAGGAGCCTCGGAAAGCTCAAAGAAGCTCTCCAGCAGTATTGCCCAAATCTGCAGCAGCCTGCAGACCCACAGATGAGAAACCAGCCTTCACAGATATGCCTTCAGTGGGTACTCTGGGACCCTGAGGAGACCCTTTGCTTGAGGCTCCTTGATGGTTTGAGTGTGAAGTCCCAGAGCTGGAAGTGATGTTCCCCTGGGGATTTCAGGAGGGGGAGATACATGTCCCTGTACCACTTAGATACAGCTGTGCTGTCCACACCTCCCATTCCAGGGGACCCCGGCCACTGCCTGCTGCCTCGTGCACCGGAAGCTTCCTGTCACCCTCCCAGCTGAATTGTCCTCTTGCTCTCAGGGCATCTGTCTTCTGCTTCTTGTAATCCAACCTCTTGTTAACCTGCCCCTATCTGCAGCAGGGGTGACGTGGAAGAACCGCATGTTCTCAGGAAGATTGCCTGCTCGCCCTCCTCAGAGAACCTGCAGCACCCAGTGTTTCTACTCTGTGTATGCCTGACACTAGGAGGTTAGGCTTGGAGAAGTGAGAGTTCTGGGTCCTGAGAGGGAACATCCAGAAAGTGGGGGACAGTGGACACGTAGGCCCAGGCAGCAGAACAAGACGGGTCCAGTGACTACAGCAGCAGAACGGGCACCTGCCCTCCAATCCTAGCTTCTCCTCCTCCTCCCTCTCCGTCTCCTACCTCCTCTCCTCCCCCTTTCTCTCCGCCTCCTCCAGCTCCTCCTGCTTCCTCTCTTCCTCCTCTTCCTTCCCTTCTTCCTCCTCCTCCTTCCCTTCTTCCTCCTCCTCCTTCTTCTTCCTCTCTTCCTCCTCATTCCTCCTTCTTCCTTCTGCTCCTCCTCCTCCCTCTCTTCCTCCTCCTCCCTGTCCCCCTCCTCCCTGTCCTCCTCCTCCATCTCCTCCTCCCTCTCCTCTTCCTCCCTCTCCTCCTCCTCCCTGTCCTCCTCCCTGTCCTCCTCCTCCCTCTCCTCTTCCTCCTTCTCCTCCTCCTCCTCATCCTCCCTCTCCTGCTGGGAAGAGCATTAAATGGAACTTGAGATCTTCCCCCCAGCTCCCCGCTGTGCACAGCACTTCTTTTCTAACTGCCTGTGGAACAGTGTTTTGTGTTCGCAGTATTTACCAAAAAACTAAAAATTGGTTTGGAGGCAGCTTCTACCTTCTTTTCTACCTCTCTAGTTAGTGGTAAGTTGGGTGCGGGAATTGTAGGGCATAGATTAGGGTTTTCAGTGGCAGGCACAGAGTAACCATCTCTACGCCATCATGGTCCAGCGGTCCCTGCTTGGTCTGTACACTCTGCAGACAGCACTTCCGTCTTCCAGGATTCATGCAGGTGACTCATCTGGCGGCCTCCTTCCACGTGTTTAGCCTGTACCAGGGCGTGGGTTAGTTCCACGC